AGATCGAAACGTGCAGTGTGCTGCACACGCAGAAACGACGCACGAAAACAGCACACACAGGACGAGAGCTAATTAACAACTTTTACAACTCGATGCTTAGTGCGCTGTTTGAACAAAAACGACGCACGAAACGTAATCGCAGGTGCAGATATGAGTGCGAACTAACGAGTGCCCCAGTTGTTACTTCGCTGCGACTGATAAGCGCGCTCTTTTCGCAAACGGGGCCTGCCCAGCTAGCAAAGTTGACCTTCGTGGCCCAGGCAGCTAACACAGTCATTTCGGTGAAAGGTCAAAGCACACGATTCTCCTAACCGAAGGATAAGCGCAAACACCTAATGCCCCCCCCCCCCCCGCCCCCATGCGTTGGCCAAAGTACGCGTTAGAGATAAGCGCGCGTTCGCGCATCTCGACGAGCTGGGTGCCGAGCGTGGGCGGATTTTTTTCTTTTTTGAGTTTTCTTATATATAGATACGTATACATATACGGTGCATGACGGCAGCTTTGGCAACGGTAAAGTTCAGCCGAGACTGTCCATATAGTTGCTATCGCAATAAAAGTGGTTAACGATTTAGGGTACTCGGTACTCTACTATGGGAGAGCTGAAAGACGTCCCTTGGGCCTCACACTAGATGAGGCCGTATATATGTGTGTTTAGAAGTCGTTAACGATTTTTAGTGTACTTGGTACTCCACTACGGGAGAGCACAAAGCCGTCCCGAGGGCAGACTTAATCCGTCAAGGAGAACATAACCCTATCGGAAAAAAACGAATGGTGGGCATGGTGGAAACCACCACCCACCATTATAGTGGATTAATGTAGTGGGTGAATGGTGGGAAACACCCACCATGGCGCATGGTGGGTATGGTGGGTGCTGCAGTGCCGGCAACACTTGAGCGCAAAATGACGTCAGAATCACCGTGACGAGCTGCCACAAAAAATAAAAAAGAATTCTATAAAAACGGTATAAAAAACACCCGTCCCGTAAAAAAAAAAACAAGGCGCCACGGAGGATCGAACGTGCAACCTGCGGATTTCCATTCCAAGACGCTAACCACTGCGCCACACCAACATGACGGTGGTTGCGTGTTAAATACTTAGTTGGCGTACAAACTTAAGGTTCAACTTAAGTTATGTTTGTCGTGTACACAACATAGACAAGATCTACACCTGCTACTAAAAATTGAACATTTATTAAACACAAGCAACTGCGCCCTGTAACGATTGCCACTATGTTATTGGCACTAGTGCTATTTTTTTTTACAATTCACAACTTAAAGGAAAAAAAAAAACCAAGTGGACTGGGGAGCAGCAACAGTTTACCGGCGGGGTCTGCCAAGTTTATTATCCGTTTCGCGCTCGTTCTAAAGGGCGACATCTGCTCACGTTTTATGACGCTTCTAGGCTCATTTCATAGATACGCCCGCCTAATTTATTTGATTGAGTATTGGGATGCTTTTCGCGCAATGTAGAGGGCGGTCGCGCCAGCGCAATGCTGTTGCTCTTTCGCTAAAGCAACAACTACATAACGGCTTGGCCAAAACGAATGCAGTGTACCGGAAACATTACGCTATCATAATGGTTCACCAAGCACACGAATTGCCACGTCTGAGTTCTCGTACAAAAGCTAGAGAAGTGCCGGCGAGTGCGACCGGCGGCTGTCGGTGAGAAGACACTAAATTACGTTCTCTGGGAGTGCTTTAATCGCGTCGCATCGATGTTTGTTGCTTCTTGAGCGAACAGTATACACAATGAAAAATGCTTCATTTAGGTTAATTGATGCCATATGGCTGCGCTGTATTGTCATACTTAATCGTCGTAATCGTGTATTCTGAAACCCGGAAGCACGGATAACACAATTGTACGGGCTCGGTCAGTAGGCCTAACCTTTGGTGGAAATCATGATGGTAGAACATGTAGTGTACAGATCCCAGCTTGGTACACTATATAATTTGCCCGCCATTATAAGCCCACCCATCATCTGCTTACTGCTTCCCAGCATTATCGTGATGGTGGGCAGAGCTTCTCAGCTTGGTACACCATGTGGCCCACCATAACAAGCAGCACCCATCATCTGCTTAGTGCTTCCCAGCATTATCGCAATGGTGGGAAGAGTTTCTCAGCTTGGTACACCATGTAGCCCACCATAATAAGCACCACCCACCATATGCTTAGGGCTTCCCAGCATTATCGCAATGGTGGGCAGAGTGTCCCATTATTGCCCACTATCTAGCCTCTGCTTTCCACCATCATTTCCACTTTACCCATCATCTGTACACCATACCACCCAGTATGTCCCGGCATAACCACCATATTTTCCACTACGTCCCACCATAGCCATCATAATTTCCACCATGCCCACTATTATTTCCACCATGCCCACTATTATTTCCACTACGCCCACCATGTTTTCCAGTATCCACCATGGCAATTTTTCCAATAGGGAAAAGTCTGCTCTCGAGGACGTTATGCGCAAACACAAAAAAAAAACTCGCAGCATATCCACGGAATGCATGATGATGAGAGGCGCGAAGCGTCTGTCAGTCCGTCCGTGCGTCTGTCTGTGCGGTAATCTACTATAGGAGAGCATAAAGCCATCCCGCGAGCTCACATTTGTTGAGGCTGCGTCATCAAAAAAACGACGCTGATGAGACCGTCATACGTTTAAAAATAGTGTTTAACGATTTGAAGTACTTCGCACTCTACTATGGGAGAGCATAGAGCCGTCCCGTGGGCCTCACATTTGAAGGCCGTGTTGTCTTGTCCTTGCTAAAGCCAAGGAGGTTACGTCCCAGTTTGACAGTACATATTTGCATCGCCGCTGCCGGCAAAGCTACTCGCCTATTGATTGCACTTTACCTCATTTTTTCAACACACAGCAGTGGAATACGTTTCCCCTCACATTCACTTGATGGACATGTAAACAGTGAGAGTATTTTAATGTTTACATAGCCAACGAAACTGCTTTCGTAATCAAGCACTGAACGTTATATCGAAAAATTTGAAGAAGGTAAACCAAAGCCTAGTTTTCTCGATTATGTTCTACGCATCTACAACCGCTCTCACCATCGCCATCTACCTCAGTACGCCCACTGCCGGACGAGGGCTGTGTTTCAACGATTAACCCGGCCCTGTGTTTGGGGCAGACACGCTAGCATAGCAAATTCCTCCAGCGCATCAGCCTGTCCAACTTACTCTCCTCCCCTCACGCGCTTGTTTTCTCTGGAAAAGCTCATACCTTGAACTGGTAACTAATGATAACGGATTTAACTGCGTAGCTATTTAATACCGCTGTCACACGGGCACCCTCGTCCTTAAGACAAGAGAGATGCGGTCCATGTCACACGGTCACCCTTACGCAAACGAAGGTAAACGGAGCATTTCGCAAAGGAAGTTCGGCGATCTCCCTTTGCAGCCGAACGAGGTCCTCTCGTCCCCAAGTTGTCTGCTGGTCAGAAAAAAAAGCACTAAGTTGCCGCAGTGAAAACAGGCCGCGCGACAGTCTATGAACATCGCGAATACAGAAAATCTGCACAAACGCTCAAGCAGTAGAGAGCCTTTGTCGCTTCATAGAGCGGTGCAGCCATGCGCGGCTCGCACGGAACTCATGAGTTAGACCTAGCTCCCTCGAAAGTCGCCGCGCTTCCACTTGGGCCATCTCGGTCGATACGGCGTGACCCCTGCTTCTCACATCTTCGATTAACTTTACTAGCTGCACCTATGGCTCAGGGTAGGCGCCGGTCTTGGGGCCGCGAAAGGACCTGTATACGGTCATGGTGTGCGGCTTTTAGGCTTTCTTCTTTCTGCACTGGAGCACGCAGGATTCGTCCATATCGTGCCGTCTTCCTGTTTCGCGATTCTAGAACTCCTCGGCGACGGCAATGATCTTAAGCTTTTGCTGTGCGTTGAAGGACTGCCACCAGATGCTGCTCAAGATGACAGAACAGATCGAGTTAGGCTTGGCCAACGGGTCGAGAGGTGGATATCTATAGCGATATCAGCGAGGTAAAAAGAGCTCTCACTCAGAGACAACTTTTCTTGACAGCACTGTAGAAGTAGTGCCGGATTCAGAGGGGGCGGGGGTGGTAGGGGGCGATCGCCCCCTCCCTCAACGCCTGTCGGCACCCCTCCCCCTCTCTTTAGAAGTGCTTGCCGTACACCTGCTGTCACCAATCAGGACAAATGAATGGGACCACTTTGGCCGCACACTATAGCAACATCCATGCTATGACAGAGTTTTTGCACTCGTGAAAGCGAAAAAGTAATGACCACGCCCCCCTCTTTAGTGTTACTTATAGCGACCCCCCTCCCCCTAAAACGAGTGGCTGGATTCGATTCTGCGTGAAAGTAACAGAACCAAAATGGATGCCTACTCCCAAGCCAAAAGTAGTACTTAAGTTTAGAAATACCTCACTTACCTTGCTGAAAGAAATACTGCTTCATTTATTAAAGAACTCATACGGTAGCGGAAAGTCGTAGGTAAGATATAGGTATTGTTCACTTTGCAGAAGTGCCTTCATTTTTCTATTTCTTACACAGCACTACCTTTTCGGCAAGCCCTTTTCCAAGACAAACATGGCGTCCATGATGTGTAGGGGCATGTGAAGTGTGGTGGAGGGTCACTGTGCGGCCGCAAACGCCTAAAAGCACACTTACAGTGGCGTTTACAATGAACACTTGAATTGTCTCTGCCCAAATATTTCTCAACGCTTTAACGATGCAAGGAAGCAAAACCAAAAGCGGCAACAAGCTGCCGTACTACTTGCAGAGCAACACGAATTCACGGAAACCGCTTCCGTAGCCTTCGCTACACCGGTAAGCAGGCTTCACGGCAGAACACGCATTGCCTGTGAAAGGAGCACTCTAGGAAAAACCCCGCGCATTTCCCGCACCCCCACTTCATCACTGATATTTTCGGTGCTGGTCATACGCGCCAAAATACGGTAAACAGTTGGATTTCAGACTGCTCTTTTGTGAACAGGTACGGACGGCAATTATCTTACCTTAGCAGTCGAGCCAGTCCTGTTCCCAGCTGTCCCAAGCTGCCTGCATCAACAAAGTTAAAAGTATGGCGTTAGAAACCCGGCAAAATGCATATGGCGTCTACAAACAACGTTCGTGTCTTTGAATATGGTACGCCGTGCATTATTCGGACTACTGGAACAGTTGCTACGATTGTGCATTAAACCATATATCGATGTGGCGACCGAACACCATGGGCGCAAAAAAAAAAAACAAATCTATAGTCTTACACAGCTTAATAAGTCAGGGGCCGCCCCGCCCAGACGACCGCAGCGCGGCAGCCGATCACCTCAGCGACCAAAGAAATAGTCTCGTTCTTGCTCTCGGCAACGTTCTCTGCAGGCGGGGTCAACGGCCATCCGGCTCGTGACGTCACTCTGTAGCACGCGACCATTGCTTGTGTACATCCGCCTTTGAGGAGGAAAATCCGCTGTACTTCTGAAGTTGCACCAGACTCTAGGTGTTTGTCTTCCAAGATAGGTGATAACAGTGCTGTAGTTTGCAAATGCGTGCATATTGTCGTTTAGTGATTTGCTTCGAATGCTGAAACCAATAGCAGCGGGATGTCTCGAAAGGCCTAGCAGCCTGCTCGACTAGCACTAGATTGGACTGGCTAAAATGTTTATAACACAGCGATCAACACAATGCATTGAGGTCCGAGAATGCCGTGACAAAGGCAGGGGCGTCGCCAGAGCGGGCGGGGGTACAGGTGGCAGGAACGCGGCCGCCCCGCAGAAGCTCTTCGCCGCTCCACCCTCGCCTCTCTTCAAAAGCGAACGTAACTAAGTCGAAACGCATAGCTTCCCTGCATCCCTACTGTAAGATGCGGTGATTTACGTGGGAAATTTAAAATTTTTATTTTGATTTACCCCTCCATATTAATAAATCCATGATGGTGAAACTAACGACAGTAGAGTTCTCAAAGTTCTCACAGAGAGTTTACAAATCTAAACAGATCCGTCGTTCCAAAGACGATAGGCTTTCGTGGGATACTTGAACGCAGAAATTCCGGCCTGTCTGTCTGTGTGTCTGCTGTCTGTCTGTCACACGATTAAGCCACCCGGAAAAAGTTTGAGCACTTACTTAACGCCCGGCCATCTTGATCTGGTGGCTGCGTTGATATACTTGCGAACATTGTCGATCACAAAGCAAGTATTACGCATAGCTGAGGTGCAACATAAACACGTAAGCGTTAGGTGGTGTGTTCACTTACTATAAAATACGTAGTTACGTAATTTAAAAAAACGTTGTGTCTCTTACGCTGCTCAGAAGATGCGACGCCATGCACGAATAAGCGGGTGTCGCTTCGCTGAAAATGCAACGGTATGCACCATTTTCCGGGTGCGCTCAAGCGCAGCCATCTTAGGCTGATAACGTTGCACTTTTGTATCCGCATCAAATAAACAGTGATACGGGGAACTAGCACGTACGAAAGCGCTTGGGTCTGTACAATCAACATTTCATGATCACTTCATATTAGGACATATAAAACTGGCAAAACAATCGCTTATCAGTCCAAGATGGCGGTAATTATGGACCGAAAATAAAATCGTGTATACACGAAAACACGTTGTGCCGACGACATGGTGCTGCCACCTGCCAGTGGCCCTAGGTTCTGCACAAGCGCCTGTTTCCACTGCCAGATGGCGTCCATACCTCACGCGGCGCCTCCAGACAGAAGGCTGTCGTCTTTCGACGACAATTTGCAGCGGAGCACGCATACGCGCGGCCAAGTTGCTTTCTTTGGTGTCGCTTTGAAGGCAGATTGCGTCCTCACCTGTGATGAGCACCCTCGGCGGGTCGCTGTCCGACGCTCCCTGTGAAGCGTTGCGCGCCGACGTGCACCGGCCGGCAGCGGCCAGCGAGGGCCTCAGCACCCGGCGAATGGTATTCTGCATCGTTCCAGTCAGCATGACCTGCCGAGCGAAAAACAAAGAAAGAGATGCGTTGTCAAAGTTTGTCAGCGGCCGCTCTCTGAAAATTATCAAAGCGGCAATGGACTGAAAAGCCCTTTCCAATGGGTGAGGGGATGTCACAGTAGTGCAACCCCGCTTACCCACCCTCTCCCGCTGAGTACTTTTTTTTTACGATCAGAGCACAGAGCAATAATGTGGATTAAGGAAAGGGAAGTCCCCATGCCCCCCGTCGCTACAACCTCTCGATGCGCATGCCCTGGTCGTGAGTTGTAAATCACCGGGCGTTTGTTCCCGCGTGCATTGTTTAAAGGGACACTAACGAGCAACAATGACTTGGTTTAGATTGATAAACTGCACTTTAATAACATTGATTTCATAAGTTCCGCTATTATAAGTTCATTAATCGTGGAGAAAATCAAGGTCGAAGTTTCATTTTCAAATTTCGCGCGGACGGCTCCACGTGTGACTGAGTGTTACATGAAAAATTTCTTTAATTTTTTTTAATTTTCGCTACATTGGCTCGATAAAATTTTCTGAAACCTCTATAGCCTTATAGCACTCGCAGATGATAATGTACTTCATTTTTAGTGATTAGGAGCTACGTAGGACGCCTTCAAAATTCATGACGTAACGGTGTTTGTGCGGAAAGGGCGAGGTGGCGTCTTCACTCGCATTTTCTTATCGCGCGTTTTTACGCTTACGAAGCGTCGTGTTGCGGTAAAGGTGGGGTTTTCGGGGTTGCGAAATTGTGCTGTGCTAATACGCCAAAAATCGTTGTCCTTTTTAGTGTCCCAGGCTTTAGGTGTAGGCCGGTTGTCGAACAGAACTTGAAGCGTCAAGTAATGTCGTGAGACTGCGTACCTCCGTTAGGAAATGATATAAGACGAAAACCGAAGAAAATAATCCCGTGAATAGCCACAAAGCTTCTTTTCTGTTTCCAATAAACTAAACTTTGATATACACAGCATATTCTAAGTACTTTAGCGCAACTTACGAACCCCTAGTGTCACAGAACGAGCGCTAAAAAAAGAGCGCGCCGCAAATTCTTGCGGTAACGCGCGGAAGAAACGCCGCGAAGTCAAAAGAAACAAAAAAGGGAAAGAAAAAAAAAACAAACGGCCAAGGCTCCCCGGGCGCGCGCTCTCCCCGCAGAAGCGTGGCTTCCTCGACGAACCTCCTCACCCCACAACGGCGGCCGAGCAAGCCCGCGATTTTTCTAGAACGAAGGAGGCGTGGTCACGCCGAGCTGAGTCATCCGACGCAGAGGGCAGTCGAACCGTCTCGCCTCTCCTCAGCCTTCGCTGCGTATCGCGCCGACGAAATGACGAGAAATTTTTGGAAGGTGGCGCGGAAGGTATTTAATCGAGCGGCCGAGACGAGAGATCAGGAGGAGACGGAAGTGAGCGCCAGAGCGCGTAGGGATTCCGCCGTGTAGTCGGCGAAGTTTTTGGTCCGAAGGGACGAGGCCGGAGGTGAAGAGGATTTCCACCTGAGGGGTGACGACTCGAGCTACCGGCAAGAGTGTGTGTTTACCGCTATCGAGCGGAGACGCGGGGCAACAGCTGCGTGTGTGAAGCCGACGTGTTCCGGCGAAGAAGTTGAAGTTGGAAGAGTGGCCAATTGAAGACGGGAGGTTTCCTGGAAGAGAAACTTCGAGGGCTGCGGAACGACAACAACGCTGAACTTTGAGTGAGTGATTCTCGGAAGAGTATCATCTAGACTTTGGTTCCAAGAACTTTGGACTGAATAGGTTTTCTATTGCTTTAGTCTTTAAGTGTCTTGGTTGTTCAATGCATGCGACTGCATTGTAGTGCGTATTGTTGTCCGTGTCCGTTGTTTCAAGTGTGGCCGATTGTATTGTGTAGTACGTTGATTGATTGGTTTGATTAGGGACATATTGTATGCAACTATTGTGGAGTGTGCATTTTTGTGTATTGTTTTCGATCTGCCATTATTGAGAATATAATTTGTTTGTTTATCAACTCTCAGCTCCGACTTGTTCTTTGGGCCACAGCCGGCGTCCGCTGGCGCGCCAAAAAGGACCACTTCTAAATTGTCCACGCTTTCGTGGTGCGGTTCGGGGGGCCGATACTTCGGCCCTTGGAATTAGCCCGGCGATCGCTTCCCTAATTAACGGGACATGTGCGACAATTAATCTGGCGTCCGCGACAGGACCTTTTGGTGCACAGTGTGTCCAAAGTAGTGAGAAAGAGCCTCGAGTTGTTGATAGTGCTATCGGAACGATTTTGTGTGTTGTTCAGTATTCTCGTTAACGAGTGCAGGGGAGTGTTCCGATAGACTGATTTAGGCAGATACTTTTTGCACGCGGCAAGGTTTTAGTTGCGAGTTGCGAGACACAATGGATCTCGAAAAGTTAGTTGCTCTTGGTGAAAAGATGGGTCTTTCTGGCGCCGAACTACGGAAGTGGGTCACCCAGAAGGAAAAAGAAGAAAAAGAAAGAGCCAAAGAAGAAAAAGCAGCCGAGCTGGAAAGAGAGAAGTTGGCAGCCGAAAGGGCGAGAGAAGAAAGAGAAGCGAGGGAGCGCCAGCTGAAAGAAGAAAGAGAAGCGGAGATGGCTGAAAGGGAACGGCAGCGGCAGCACGAAATTGAACTCGAGCGGCTCCGTTTGCAACAGCGAAACGAAACTCCCGCCCAAGCTAGAGTTGAAAGCAGCGAACGGGAAGACCATGGCTTCCGCTTGAACCCAAGCAAGCTGCTCGTAGCGTTTGATGAAAGGAAGGACGACCTTGACGCGTACCTTCACCGATTTGAGACGATTGCGAAGAGCCAGAATTGGCCGGAACATCAATGGGCAACTGCTTTGAGTACTTGCTTGAGTGGTGAAGCGCTCAGTGTGTACGGTAGGCTGACGCCGACCGATGCAGCCAACTATGCAAGGGTGAAAACTGCTTTGCTGAAGCGATTTAGATTTACTGTAGAAGGATTCCGGGACAGATTTCGGACAGGAAAACCAGCTGATGGTGAGACGGCTACGCAGTATGCCGCCCGACTTTGCCATTATTTCGACAGATGGATTGAACTTTCAGGGACAGCGCAGGAGTACGATGAGCTTAGAGAGCTGCTAATTAGAGAACAATTTCTTACTAGTTGCCACCCAAGCCTGTCACTGTACTTAAAAGAGAGGAAGGCTGACTCACTTGAAGACATGCTTGAATTGGCTGATCAATTCTTGGAAGCGCAAGGTGGCACTAATTTGGCCAGGGTCAAGAAGGATTGTCCCGATGATTCGAAGAAATTGGCTCCCGAAGAAAAGAAGCGTGCACCAGAGAGCATTCAGCGATGTTTTCTGTGCAACCGAGTGGGTCATCGCGCGAAAAACTGTCGAACGATCTTTACGAGCCCTACGGTAGTAAAATGTTTCAAGTGTGGTCAGACTGGGCACAAAGCAGATGCATGTCGGAACGGAGTGAGTCAAACTCACCAGGTATCCTGTGTGCAAGCGGCACCGAAATCTGATAATAATGCCGTCACTGATGGATTCGTAGAGTTGAAGAATGGGGAGAAAATTCCTATTGTGGGTGCTGTAATGTCAAAACAGCCAACCGGTGTTACGAAAGGAATGCCAACGCTGCCTGGAAAGGTTGCGGGCAAGAAGATTACGGTTCTAAGAGATACCGGTAGCTCCACGGTTATCGTGCGGAGAAATTTGGTACGGGAAAGTGAGTTGACAGGCAGAACGAAACCGGTTTGCCTAATTGACCGTACGTAATAGACCGGTTGACTGGGCTAGTTGGTATGGCATACTTGGGTTTTAGCAGCGCGAAAAATGCACCGTACGGTTCGGATGCTTCCCGAAGCAGAAATTGAGGTTGAAACCCCGTACTTCAGCGGGAAGCTTACTGCTTTATGCATGACGACCCCACTGTATGACCTTGTCATCGGAAACATCGACGGGGCGCGAGGGCCAAGTGATCCAGAATGTTTGGGAGAAGACCCGAAGATAGAGCCCTCGCCAACACAGCGGCCGCGAGTTACAGTGGAGGAGCATCCCGTGACGGATCTCACTAGAGCCCAAGGGGAAGCTGCGGCGCAAGAGACAGCGAAGGAGAAGACGATCGTGTCGAATAAGTTCACGGGCCGAGCAACTGGACTTACGTCGGCACGACCTCAACCGACTGACAGTGTAAAGGAGACGGAGTTGGCCAGCCGGGCAAAATGTAGAGGCATGATCAAGCGGGTAAATAAACAGACAAGACCCGTCAGATGTAATGACGCGTTAACGGTGTCGGAAGAGACAACGATGGCTGAAACGACGCCTCAGATATCGTCGTTAGAAAGGGCTCGCCGAAAAAGAACGAGGAAAAACAAGAAGAGATCGAGCGAGCACCGCAAGAAAGGACGCAAGCGCAGCTCGAAACACACAGGATAGGTGCTGAGGTGGAATCAGAATGTGTTGGGCAGTGCTGAGTGCCATACGTTGTGTTAATGTTGTGTTATCCTGTGTCACAAGTGTCGAAGTGTTGTGCTGTGATGTGATGTATAGTATTGTACCATTGTTGTAATGAGAGAACTTTGTACATTTGTATTGTTGGGAATGTGTGGTGGAGTGTTGTACTCATGCGCTTGTGGTTGTGTTTTCACGTGTTGTGTAATTGAATTACAATATCCAATCGTATTGAGTGATATATTGTGAATGTGAAGTGTCATGAGCGACGGATTGTGTTACAGTCTGTGAGAATGTGTGGTGACTGTTCGCGCTCGTTTGTGTGGTTTTGAATATTATGAGATAATATTCTTAAAGTGGGGGGCAGTGTCACAGAACGAGCGCTACAAAAAGAGCGCGCCGCAAATTCTTGCGGTAACGCGCGGAAGAAACGCCGCGAAGTCAAAAGAAACAAAAAAGGGAAAGAAAAAGAAAACAAACGGCCAAGGCTCCCCGGGCGCGCGCTCTCCCCGCAGAAGCGTGGCTTCCTCGACGAACCTCCTCACCCCACAACGGCGGCCGAGCAAGCCCGCGATTTTTCTAGAACGAAGGAGGC